ATGAAATAAAACATGACATGAATGTTCCTCATGAGATGCTGACCAAGTGTTGTAACTTTGTAGGTGATCCATCATCCAAGATGGCCGCCAGCGGGGACTAAGTTTAACATAGGACCCTATGGGAAATACATACATATTTTTTCTTTTAGAAAACCACTGAATGGAATGAAACCAAACATTGCATGAATGTTCCTAATGAGGTGCTGGACAAGTGTTGTTACTTTGTAGACAATAAATCAACCAAGATGGCTGCCAACGGGGGACTTCGTTTAACAAAGGACCCTATGTAAAATATATACAAATGTCTTCTTCTAGAAAACCGCTTAATGGATTGAAACCAAACATGGTATGAATGTTTCTTTTGAGGTGCTGACCAAGTGTTGTTACTTTGTAGCCGAACCATCATCCAAGATGGTCGCCAGCAAGGGACTTAGTTTAACATAAGACACTATGGGAAATACATACAAATGCTTTTTCTAGAGGAGCACTGAATGGAATGAAACCAAACATGGCATAAATGTTCCTTATGAGGTGCTGATGAAGACCTTAATACATGTATCTTTATAGATTGAGATCTACTGTAAACTGCAAAATTATCAAGAAAAGAAGATCTACACATAAGTCAACATGATCAAAATTGTCAATTGGCATCTTGTTGGAGTTATTGTCCTTATAAAGTCATTTTCTACAATGTCAATGAATTTATTGGTAATTTCTGTAAAGTTTACAAAAGTCTTCTGCTTTTGATTAAATTACGGGGCCAATATTAAACCAAATTTGACCTCAATCATTATTAGGGTATCTGTTATGAATTTAATCTATTTTTACATGATTGGCAAAACCAAAGTAAAATGAGGTGATCGACACAGGCTCTTGAGAGCCTCTTGTTATAGACTTTTGTTTGCATTTTCGTTTTTTGCCATGGCGCCGTCAGTTTGTCTTCGACTTATCAGTTTGGAAATATTCTTGAAGCATGTTAACAGTTGCAAAAAGTTACTTTTAGCACCATAGACTCGGACTTGAAATCCTTTTATTAGGAACGAAAACAAGGTCACTGACACGGTATTTTAATGGAACAAGGACCAATTGCATCACAAAAGAATCTATCCCCTAAATGATAGAAATGTTCACAAATCATATCATAGTTTGCTTTTATGTAACAAGATTGATTGTTGGTTGCTTAACGTCCAGTAGCAAATATTTCATGTATGCTCAGGACGAGAACTAATTAACAATTAATACAATAGGTAGGGCCTGTAATAGAGGCCGTCCTGGATGATGGTCGGGGAAATTTGGACTACCACTGGAAAACGACGGTATAATTAATTGGATATATCAGGACAGAAATTTTGCCTTGCAACAGGCCACCAATGGACCTCTGAAGGAAGAGTTGATGCAAGGGTTCTTAACGTGGAAAGAGCGTGATACTCTCTTTTGCACGAGGCATCGGATTTAACGTCCACATTCTGACCGGACCTGGCTGCGAACTTGTACGTCCCGCACAGTCAAACGGACGCCCCACTTTGGCAAGGGTTTTACTGCCAGTCGGAAGAAGTCAAAGAGTGACCACATTGCTATTCCCCAGTCACCCTTGGGGGTTATGTAATACAAAAAAGCGAATAAAGATAAAGAAGCTTCCCATAGAAGTATTAACATGTGTGCCCTATGTTTCTGATATTTTTTCGGTTGATTTGGAAGAAGGAGCACATTAATTTGGCTTATATGAAAATTTCTACAAACATCCTTAAATTTTGCTTTATTTGTTATAACATAAGACAATTCAAAATTCTATATTTAATTGTTAATTGATATACAGGTAATAAAGTTCACGCATATATTTTTGAACGCCGGCCTGACCATAACTTATTTAACATTGAATGGATAGAGAAGGCACTCTCGATCTGCCACTTGTTTTTACGATTTATTGGAACGATGATACTACAAATTGCAGTAAAGATAAAAGTATTCGAAAATGGCCCTGGTGTGAAATAAATTCGGAGAAAACTGGTCCTATCTCTTTCTTTAAAACTCAGTCAAAGTAATAAGATAGGAAAATACAGATCTCTAAAGAGAAAAAAAATATGCTATAGATAAAATTTGTAGTTGGATTTTTTTTGTAGATACTGCTAAATGTTATAATAATATGATCAGATACTCAGTTTGAAAATCTCCATGAAAATTTGTAGCTTTGTTTACCTTCGTGTCTGTTTTTGCTATGCTAACCTCGTTACCGTCACACCATCGTTCGTTATTTACTCTACTTGACTACGATAAAGTGTGATTAATGGTTAAAAAAGCAAAATAGTCCTTAATAAAAGAAGGAAATTGTGTATTGATTAACCTTTACAATTATATGACCATCTATCAATTTGACTTCCGGTTGATCAATACAATCACTGGAAAGTGTAAAATTGCAGCCGACCTCAGTGCTTGTTTGCATAGATTTTTGTATTTTTTGTTCTGAATTCGTTCATATGAATAAAAAACGGCCGCATAGCGTAAAATTGCGAGATCTTGATGAAAGTTAGATCAACGAAAATATATCAAGAAGAAGCCAGGCGTGTAATGAGTATTTTACGAAGTGCTTCCAGACACTGATTTAGAAATTGTTTATTTGATTTTATATACAGAAAGGGACCATTTTAGGAAATAAAAAATTCTTAATTACTACCACGCAGCACTGTGTGTAAAGAGGCTGTTATATTGACATTTACCTCGAAAATAAATCCACCAATATGTAATTTAAAAAATACTAATAAATGTTGAACTGCTATTTACTGGATTAACAGATTTACATTATCTTACTTTTTTTGACTATATTATAAAATAAAAACACATGAAATTGAATTTTACTGAAATGCGTGCAATGGAAACTGGATTTTATTGTATTAAGCCAAGAAAGACAATTTCAGCGCATTAATCCGAGCATGATTCATGATTTTTAGAAATTATTTTGTTTCTTTTATATATTAGTATAGCCGTTTACACTGGATATAGCAAGTCCGATATGAACCCGAAACCAACAGTTTCGATATTAAACTATAACCTACGGTATACACCCCGTTCAACATACCGCATAATCTGAAAAGAGACATCTTAATAATTTCAAAATTTACATTTGGTGCAGTAAAATGTGTACCCTGTGATTGTAAAAAAAAATCAATCTTTCAGTTTTCCAGTTACACATTTCAAAGATCTCTTGATTTTGGGAATGCAGAAAAAACGATATGTTGTGAATGCTTATAAATATTCTTTCTCTTTTAAAAAAAAAATCCCCACAAAAAAGATATTGTCTCCCGTGAACATTAATAAACCATTATATTTAATCCATTTTGTAATCAAACATAAAATTATGAATACAATACGGTTATCTCTATTGTAAAGATTTAAAGAACAGGATTTTAATGGAATAGAAAGTATAGTCCCATCTTTAAAAATTTTCCAGACAATTTTTTAACGAGTATGGCATTACTAACATTATTGTTAAAGGAGTTAATGGCTTATATATACTGGGGAAAATAGCTGAAGAGAAATTGCTTAGTAATATTACATAATCTTAATTATGTGTTTTATTTTTATAATACTATGTTACATGTATACATTTTGTCTTCGCATTTTGTGAATAACCTTGGCAAGAGACTACTTTATCTAACATTCTATATTTATGTTATTACACATTCAATGTGTCTGATGCATGCATGTTCTCATTCGGTTTTGTAGGTCTTCGTGACAATCCTAATATCGGATTTTATATCGATAAAATCGTTTGATTTGATTTGATGTTATATGTCGAGCTCTGGATAGACTCAATTTATGTCAAGTTGTAAATACATTTCTGACAGACTAACTTAAATAATATCTGCCTTCAACACCATATTCCTTATTTATTATGTAATACGAACTCAAAGAAACACGCAATACATATATTAAAATGTACTTAAATGATTTTGTAAAAGCAAACAACAAGATAATTCCTAGTTTAGAATTTTAACTTGGCTGTTGCCTATATTTCAAACCCCCTCAAAACATGAAACAAATCGTATTATTATACCATAAACACAGATAGGGTATATTTTCACTATTCTCATACCGTTTAGTAGGGCTATCATAAATATTACTCGAAATCCTCATCACAAATTTTCAGATTTTAAGCCTTTCCGATTTTCAGTTTTGTCGATAAAATCAATCTTGGAAAAATGTGGTTAAAGCAACTATAAGTCACCTATGGCCTCTAACAAAACACATCATGACCGTATAGTCAGCTATAAAAGGCAAAATGTGAAACAATTTAAACGAAAACACTACATCCTGATTTATGAAAAAAAAAAAACAATAAACGATTAAACAAATAAGACCGACAGCAACCAACGACAACCCTTGAATTACAGGCTCTTGACTTCAGATGGGCACATATAGAATGTGGCGGGGGTAAACATATTTGTGAGCCCTCAACCCTATCCTGACCAGGGATAGTGGTCTAACAACAACACAAGAACAACCCGAAAAATTCAGTTGAAAATGGCTTGACTCAACAGATTGGTTCGATGCACAAAAAAAACCCAACTTACATAGAGATAAAAGACATACAGTACGGATCTAAGAGTACTCGCAGTTACTGAATGATAGTTTAAAGCCTATAACAACTAAAATAAAAAAAAAATGATGTTCTCTCAGAATACATAAAACAAAATCAAAAATACAGTTAATTTTCTTCGATAAAGCTGCTTATTTTTGAATCAAAATGAAATTTAAGGTCATTTGTGGGTCTTTTAAGTCTGTCAAAAATGTTAAACAATTACAACACAAGAGGTAAATATTTTGCTACTGCATGACACATGTTGCAGTCATATTTTTTTAATTGGTATTCGAACATAATCTTTTTTACCTGACGTATTTATGTTATTTAGATTCTTGGAAATATAATTGTGTACTAATAAACACGTATGCTGTTATACAAATTTAAAGATGTGTTAACAGTAAAACAGAAATATCATACTTACACGTCATTTCGTAACCATCAGAGTTCCATATAACATTTTCAAAAACAAAAATTCCTTTCAATAATCACTAGCACAGTTCTGTTGATAAATCATTACCACCAACAAATAATTACATGTCTCTAAGGTGTTTATGTAAAAAATCTGTGTTTATATCTCATTACGTACAATGATAGAGAAAACTGTTTGACATTAATCATTCCGTAACTACCTGCTTCTATAACATAAACAACTGCGTACTCCAACGTATAATATCGATCGATTTTTTAAGTCCATATTCTAGGATTTTAATGGTGTAAAGATGCATAGCTGAAAGGAATCGTTATGATACACGTGATAACAATAAAACCAGATATGAGTTTTTTCCCCGCACAATTATTGATAGACATTCCTTCATTAAAACAGAAGGAAAAACACACTCTGCATCTGCTGTGTATTGGGTTGTATTAACCTACAGTGAAATCAGCTGTTTCAGATAATTTAGTTGAAACTTACAATGTGTGTAAAACATGCAAATAGCAGTGGTAATCACCTATGATTAAGGATGTAAAAAAAGAACAAAACAAAATCAATACAACTTGAAAACGCAAGTATCGTCGCAGCTGTAATGCATTGATTCTTAATAAAACAAACTAAATATATTTAAGTATGCGAGTATTTTCGATATGGATTGCTGAATTTTATTCAGAAGGCAATATCTTTCAGAAACCATTGCCGTTATGGCAGCTGTTAAAATATTTAATAAAAAAAAAGTATTTTTTCAAAGAAGAAATTAAAGAAATAATCTAAAAAAGAAATTGTTCTCTAACCATGTGTTCAGAGAACAATTTCCGCCTATAAATTCACAATTGTTGATCATTTAAGTTGGATGTATGATCAATAATAACATGAATCTTATAAAATAGGAGAAAAAAAAAGTAACAAGTGGTTTACAAAGTCACTTTATGCATTAGGAAAAAGATAATCTTACACGAATCTCTAAAATGCAATTAGGAGATAATCATCTACTTCCGCTTTAAAAGAATGATAGCCTTACTTTACATTGATTCTAAAACAATAAGGTTTTTATATATATTTTTCGGTCGACAAAGGTAGATAACTTTCAATTTTTGGTTTCAAAAAGTTACTACCAGTGTCATATGATAACTTACATTGCACTGATTAAACAAATATATTATTTTTATGTACTTTTTCTTGAAATAAGGTTTAAATCATGTCACTTCCGGTGTCGAATGATTGGTTTCTTTATGGCGATTCCAAAAATATAGAGTTTCTATGTACTTTTTAAAGGCACTTGTCTCTGAAAAAAAAATCCTATATACCTTAATATAACATTATATTATATTAAGGTGTATAGGAATTTTATTTTTAGAGACAAGTGCCTGTGGTACTTTTGCATGAAATAAGTACAGAAATGGCTACTTCCGGTCCACGGCAGGCTATTTGTGGTTGTACTTTTTGTCAGATCATATGTCTATTAACATAATCCAAACAATATAAAGGTAAATGATCACAAATCAGAATACCCCATATCTAATATGTATGGTTAAGAATTAATCGTACCAAACAGCTCATTTTGAATATTTGTTAAGAAGAGAAAATTCCTATAAAAAGTCACCAGTGCACTTCGACCCAGAAGTTCCAGCGTTGCATCAAATCGTAACTTAAAATTTGACCCTTATCCCTTATCTTTGACCTTGTCACTAATTTGCTGTCTATTTACCAAGGAACTTATATAAATAAAAAAATCTAGGTCTCTATGACTCACAGTTTACGAGTTACACCGACATACCATTTATGTAGGACACACAAAGGGAAATAAATCTTATGAAATGCAAGGATTTGTATAGTGAGACACTATACACTTCCTTGTGAAATGTAACCGGATCGCGTCGGTCCAAATTGAATAGATCATCATGAGAAAATAACAAACAATTCCAATAAAAAGATTCAGCTATATCTTTTACGGTTTCTTGGGAGAAGCGTTAACAAAAAAAAAATTGTATACGGGGAGATAACTCCCATATGGAAAAGAGTTCAGTTGAAAAGAGTGAGTTTCAAAAGTTCAATATAGCTGTTTGATATCATATACCAAATATCTTATGGGCATGTTGCGAAACAAAAGCGACATTCGAGGAACAAAAGTGGCGAAATAAAAAATGACCAGAGGAATATCTAGTCTTTTTATGGAAAGGTGGAAACACCTAACAAAAAAGGTGAATTGGTCACAGAGCATTATGAACGGCTTTCCAACGGTTTTCTAAAGTTATCTTTCAAGCTTTTATTTGAAAACATATAGCATTTTTTTGTTTGAAGCGGTATCGTTATATTTAAAATTGTTCCATGTAATATCTCATCTTTACTAGCGGTAAAAATTACAATAACTAGGTATTTATCATTGAACACTGGAAACTGTGCCAACATATAGTTGAAATATATATTACCCAATAATAGCACATATGTTCTCCTTAGTCATTGAATGTACCGTTGCTATGTAATTTTTCCTCAATGAAAATGTACATAATGTAATTCTGATAAATTAAAAAAAAAGGTTCATGACTGATTGGCGTCCAGTAGCAAATATTTCATGCATGTTTAGTACTAGAACAAATTAACAATACATCCAATAGGTTGGTTTTGCAAAGTGGATTGATCGCGACGAGGGCAAGAATTTTGACTTCAACATGAAAAACTATTGCATTATGAATTGGTTTCGACATTTTGCGGGTGTGGCTTCATGACTCATACGTTAGCGAAATACTGTACTCATTTTTGTATATACATTAATAATCATTAACACACATTATTATATATATGTACAAAAAGTAAATGTGTACAGAAACTGACACAACGAGTCATTAAGTTCCTTTTATTTTATTTCATTTTTCAGAGTTTGTGAAGACAAAAGTAACACACACACACACACACACACACACACACATATATATATATATATATATATATATATATATATAAGTCTAGAGATTTGCACAACGATACTTATATAAGATGGTATTATACGAAGATGTTGTTATTAAATCGTGTTGACAAATATTTCGGCTTAACAAATAGCCTTCTTCAGTGTCAATTATTTTAACAATGTATATATATATATATAACATTTTCCAAAAGACCAAAAAAGTGAAAAAGTATATTTCAACAAAACGCATTTCACTAGCAGGTCAAACAACGGATGTTCTTAAACCCAGCCTACTGCCATTGGCGATTGCCAAATAAACGGATCACCATATGTAACAAACAGAAAACAATAAACTTGCGGAAAAGATGGTATACCGCAAACAAAAGGTGCAAAAATTTGTACACCATATCCGGATTTCGACAATTAATGTCTCTTCAGTTATGTTAGGAATCGAAACGATATTTGGAAAGCCATATAATTTACCTCAATTCAGGATAGACTTTTGAATTTTGAAGAGTCGAAATAGGATGAACAGATCATATAAACCCGAAGGCAAATATAATACAAGCCCAAACGAAAAAATATAAACAAGTATACATTGAAAACAACATTCAAACCTATGATTGCGTTGGATAAAAACCGAAATTTTTATACGTGTGTATGCAAAACAAATTTCTTGGTAGAGGGGTCAAAATACAGCACAAACAACATTTTCCAAAAGACCAAAAAAGTGAAAAAAATATATTTTAACAAAACGCATTTGACTAGCAGGTCGAACAACGGATGTTTTTTGTTACCAAGAAATTTGTTTTGCATGCACACGTACAAAAATTGCGGAGAGAGAGAGAGAGAGAGAGAGAGAGAGAGAGACGATAACATGGTCTTGACAAGGCAGTAGGAGACTCAGATTGGGAACATCGGAATCCTGACGATTTGTTTGATATTCTTGGGACGACTTATTATGCGCAAACCGACCAGGCACATCCCATTCATAACCAGATGTAAAGGATATGTTAAGGTTTCCGTGCCCATCTCACCCAATGGAATTTCCTTACTGTCTCCAGTACAATATGTTCAGCTACTTCAGTTATGTCCCAAAACATATGTGTTATATCAAGAAAGATCTCGACAAAATTTTCAATTTCCACTTTTGTATTTAGTGTACCAATTCTGAGTATCCCAATGGTAAAGGCAACTGTGAACGACATTACTCAAGCGGACCAGAAAAAAAAACATCATCACGCAAACAATATTTTCTAGACAACCATGGCATCCTTGTTTTAGAAAGCGAAGAAAAGGAGTGGGATACTAATAGTCAGACATCGACCCGAAAATTGTACGATGCCCCGAATTTTTTGTTCGTCAAAAAGTAGAAAGCTGGACACTTAATTTTGGAAGCTAAATGGACACTAATAGAAGTTCGAAGAAGGAGTTTATGTTCCCAGTTAGAAATAAAATTGAGAATGGAAATGGGGAATGTGTCAAAGAGACAACAACCCGACCATAGAACAGACAACAGCAGAAGGTCACCAACAGGTCTTCAATGCAGCGAGAAATTCCCGCACCCGGAGGCGTCCTTCAGCTGGCCCCTAAACAAATATATATATACTAGTTCAGTGATAATGAACGCCATACTAAACTCTAAATTGTACACAAGAAACTAAAATTAAAAATAATACAAGACTAACAAAGGCTAGAGGCTCCTGACTTGAAACAGGCGCAAAAATGCGGCGGGCTTAAACATGTTTATGAGATCTCAACCCTCCCCCTATACCTCTAGCCAATGTAGAAAAGTAAATGCATAACAATACGCACATTAAAATTCTGTTCAAGAGAAGTCCGAGTCTGATGTCAGAAGATGTAACCAAAGAAAATAAACAAAATGACAATAATACACAAATAACAACAGACTACTAGCAGTTAACTGACATGCCAGCTCCAGACTTCAATTAAACTGATTGAAAGATTATGTCTTCATCATATGAATATCAGGCATAATCCTTCCCGTTAGGGGTTTAGTATCATACCATCATAACATATATGAGAAGAACATAACCCGTGTCATGCCAACAACTGGTTTTTAAATAAATGTGTTTAGTGCCGATGCAAAGACCCTATAAGTGAATCAATATTAACGCCAAAATATGCAATCTTTAATGACCTGACAACAGTATCGTAACTATATCCCTTCTTAATAAGTCTATTTAAAGGTTTTGTTAGCTTCAGAGGTGAATACTGACATTTTTGTGCTTTATAAAGAATATTTCCATAAAAAATTGGATGTGAAATACCTGAACGTATAAGAAGTCTGCATGTTGAGCTATATTTACGAATGATGTCCTTATACCGATGATAAAATTAAGTAAATGTTTTGACTAGTTTGTGATATCGAAAACCCTGGTGTAATAATTTTTCAGTAATACATAAATTTCTCTCGTTAAAATCTAAAACATTGTTACATACACGAGCGAATCGTACAAGTTGAGATATATAAACACCGTAAGATGGTGATAAGGGAACGTCACCATCTAAAAATGGATAATTAACGATA